ATATATATATATAATCACTAAGGCTGGCTTAGTAATGAGAAATTTGAGACAAATATTGTGCTATCATTATAATTATTATCATTTTTGCACAAAAAATATTTTCTCTTTTTTTTTTGGTAAAAAAAAAAATTTCCTTCTTTCAAAGTTCAAACCTTTTTCTTTTTTTTTTCCCCATGAAATTCTTTTAACTAATTGAACTGACGACTAATATTTCAACACACTATTTATGACGAGTTTTGCACACACATATTTTCATACCCTTTGCTAAAACTATTTTTTTTCCCATTTTTTTTTTTGATACGCGGCGCCCATTCTTTCATCTGTCTTGTCATCAAAGATTGCCCCTCCTTCACTTATTGCCGTCATCATGTAAAACTCATTTTCAATGCGAAATGCTACAGTATAGAAGCGAAATCAGCCCATAATACATGCATGAATGATATAATATTAATAACACTCACAAAATATTCCATAGTGGAAAATTTTCAAACAAAACCCAAACATTAATTTTTCACCATCAACATATTTCTCAAAACAATTATTCATTTTCTTTCATAACTAGCAATGGAAAACGCCAGAAAATTCATTTAATAAAAGGAAATAATTTATTGTCCCACACAAAAAATCCTTCTTATATATGGTTAAGTACACTGCTCCTATATATTAACTAAAATTTCAAAATCATATATGTTCTTTATGGCGCTTTATATTTTTTTTCACATAAAATTACATCGGATATAACTTAAAAAAATAGTAATTCTACTGAAAACCTCAAAAAAGAAAAATATTGATAATTGGCTCTGCTCTTATTATATGAATCTCCCTATCTAAACTTTTAAAGAAAAAAAAAGGGGTATTTCATTTATTGTCGAACATATTTTGGGTAGGGTAAAAATACTAAAAGGAAAGAAGGCAGGTGGATAAACGGATAAGGATTGCCATTCATCACTAAAAACCACGCACTTCACAGTTTCTCCCATTAACTTAAATTTTGACTTATATATCTCACTCACTCTTTATAAACTCTCACCAACTCTCTTCTTTCCGCCCACTGCTTTCAGTAGTTAGTGTTACCCTTCACAGAAAGCAACATAGGAAAGAAAAGTAGAAAACACACTTTCTCTCTCTCTCTCCCTCTCTCTCGCGTTCGCGATGGAACAACCTCATACCTCGTCACTTCACGTGGAGACAGAAGCACCTGAACCTAGTCCGCTCCGAAAAATGGTGGCCGTGTCGTCAATCGCGGCGGGAGTCCAATTTGGGTGGGCCCTACAACTGTCTCTCCTAACTCCCTACGTTCAGACGCTGGGCGTCCCTCACGCGTGGGCCTCCTTCATCTGGCTCTGCGGCCCAATCTCGGGCCTGGTGGTCCAGCCCATTGTGGGCTACACCAGCGACCGCTGCACCTCCCGCTTCGGCCGCCGCCGCCCCTTCATCCTCGCCGGCGCCCTCGCCGTCGCCCTCGCCGTCTTTCTCATCGGCTACGCCGCCGACATCGGCCACGCCGCCGGCGACGACATCACCAAGAAAACCCGCCCCCACGCGGTCGCCGTCTTCGTCGTGGGCTTCTGGATCCTCGACGTCGCCAACAACATGCTCCAAGGCCCGTGCCGCGCCTTCCTGGGCGACCTCGCCGCCGGCGACCACCGCAAAACGCGAACCGCCAACGCCTTCTTCTCCTTCTTCATGGCCATCGGCAACGTCCTCGGATACGCAGCGGGCTCATACGACAAGCTCCACCGCGTTTTCCCCTTCACGGAAACCTCCGCGTGCAACGTGTTCTGCGCCAATCTCAAAAGCTGCTTCTTCTTCTCAATCTTCCTCTTGCTCGTTCTCATCCTCATCGTCTTGGTCACCGTCAACGACCCCCAATTCACGCCCAACCAGGCCATCCAAAACGACGACGTCGCAGCGCTGGGGTCACGGTTTTCGTGCTTCGACCAGGTGGTGGGCGCGTTTAAGGACCTCAAGGGCCCCATGTGGATGCTGATGCTGGTCACCGCTGTCAACTGGTTCGCGTGGTTCCCCTACGTGCTCTTCGACACCGATTGGATGGGCCGCGAGGTGTACGGTGGCGACGTGGGCCAGACCGCATACGATAGAGGCGTGCATGCGGGCTCATTGGGCCTCATGCTAAACTCCGTCGTTTTGGCTCTCATGTCGCTCGCGGTTGAGCCCCTCGGTCGTCTCGTTGGCGGCGTTAAGTGGCTTTGGGGAATCGTTAACGTTGTTCTCGCCGTTTGCATGGCCATGACGGTCGTTATCTCCAAGGCTGCGGAACACGAACGCCGTCACGGCGTTCCCGTTGGGTACCCTTCACTCGGTGTCAGAGCTGGTGCATTGACTTTCTTCTCCGTCCTCGGAATCCCTCTCGCCGTAAGATTTCCTTTCAAATTAAATTCTTTTTATTAATATTTTAAAATTGCAAAATAATTTTAATAATACATAAAAAAAACAATAAAAAAAAACTGAAGGGTGTTTGAAAAAGTGATGTCCCTACGGACTACGGTTATCACTCTTTTAAAATCATTTAATGATTTTAAGATTTTATATTAATTAAGAAGAGAGTATTACTAATATCTGGACTCAAAAAGTCAGAGAGTATCATATTTTATTATGAGGGAGTGTCAATAAATGATGCTCATTAATTATGGTCAAGTAACTCTATCCAGAAAGACGGTTTTGCGCGTGAAGAGATGCAAAATCGTGATTTTATTACCCAGAAAGAAAAAAACCCAGTTTTCTAACTCTTATATTGGTTCAGTTATAAACTAGAAAAAAAAAAATACTTACAAGTTATTGTTCATATGTACAGTTTGGTGAAAATAATTCGTACCGGTAATTGTCTTGAGATAAATTGTTAATTGTTGTTATTATGATTTTGTTGACTGTTTACAGCCTACAAATGTCGGTAAGTATTGCATAAAAATATTTATGCAGATATTAATTAATGACATCTCTAAACAGTATAAAAATACCTCTTTTTCTTTTTTGTTTTGATATTTGGAATGTCGAGGACTTATGAAAAATGAGGATTACAATCTACAATTAGTAAAGGAAGAAGTATGAGAAAAAGTTCCGTAAAATACAAAAAAGTATGACAAAAGTTAAAAGCTTGAATTAATATTTTTCAGATCTTGTAAGATTGAATAGTTAAAGATTTAGAAAATGTTTCTCATTTTGTTCTTTTAACTAATTCGTATTTTTCAGATCTACAAAATATTTATTTTTTTTTAAAATCATTAGAAGATTATTTAGAATGAGAATGTAGAATATTTTATTATAGTTGCAATTAAGTGTCACTCAATAATCATTTATTAAAAGTAAATAATTATTTATTACTGACTACAAAGTTTTCTTTACTGTATATGTATAGTTTTTGTTTTTTTTTCATTTATAAAGCTTAATATCAATGTGCCATAAACTATCACTAATCTCTATGAATGCATGTGTACCCAGATTACTTACAGCGTTCCATTCGCTCTGGCATCTATATATTCCAGCACATCAGGGGCAGGCCAAGGTAAATCAAAATTAAAGTGTAATTTATATAAATTAATTATTTTTAAAATTAAGCCTTTCTATTTATACAAAGTTTAATATGGACAAAAAACTAACTAAACAAATGTTTACAGAAGTTGGCCAACTTATTGTCTATCACAAACCAAAATGTATAACCTTTCCTTTTGCTTCAATTTTTTCAGGGTTATCTCTGGGTCTCCTCAATGTGGCAATTGTCGTGCCACAGGTTAGTATCCATTTATCTTCATATTGTTGGAATATAAATTGATTTTGTATGTTGGGCTTAAAGTATTCAAATCCTTGGTTTGTGGTCCCTGTAAGAAAAGTGCATTGTATAGGATAGTTATAATCTCACTGGTCTTAAGGCCCCCAAGATGCCCCCATTATAGGGACCTAGTATCTCTATCGCTGACACTTGGCAAACTATAGGATAGTTATAATCTCACTGGTCTTAAGGCCCCCAAGATGCCCCCATTATAGGGACCTAGTATCTCTATCGCTGACACTTGGCAAACTCTAAGGTCTGTCGCAGTATTTCAGGCTAGAGTAACCAGTTATCACCTTGAGTGTGATTTCCGACAAGGCTCGCAGGCTCTAAAGGCCAAACTTGGGCCAGTCGTACGTTAACCACTCCCTATGTTTAATACCATCATGGCCCCGGGTGCAGGGGGACTGTTGTGTGCAAAGGTTTATGTGCAATTGATATTTCGAACATATGTGGAATTTAAACAAGCAAATAGATATCAAAGTCAAACAAAGAAAACAAACAAGGTAAAGGGGAAAAATATTTAACTTATTTATTCTTATTTTATTAATTTCATCATTTATTTGGTCCTGACCCTCTTAAAACGCCCCCAGTGGAGTCGCCATCTGTCTAACCTAAAAATTTTCGATCTTGCAAACTATGGTTTAGACATCCTTTGAAAATCTCATCAATTAAAGAATGCTCGGACACCAGAATAATCCTTAATCAATGGTTTTGAAAATAGGTTCATGGAGTCGCCACCAATGTTTTACTCAAAACATTGGAAAAAGAAAAGGTTTTTTAAGGTCCAATAATGGCCTTGATAACCAGAATTGGATTTGGGGGTCGATTACGTGTAGAGAAGATATTAAGCACCCCTACAACGCCCTAAATCGGTACCCTATGATGAAATTAACACGATAAGAATTAATCAATTAAATATTGAATCCCCTTTATTAATATTTATTCACATGCTTAAAATATAAATTAAGCAATTAACCCTAAAATATCTACATTATGACGTTTATTATAACAAAAAAAATAATAAAGATGAGAAATAAAAGGGAGAGAAGAAGATTGACTGAAATACCTCTTGAACGAGCTTTATTGAATCTTCAAATATGGAGAAGGTGCTTTGTGGCGACCTTTCACACTACAATATGCCTCACAGATCTCAAGAAATACAATAGGAGGGAGAGAGAAGATAGAGATCCGACACAAATCTCATGAAATATAATAGAAGGGAGAGAGATAAAGAATTTTCGTGCTCAAAGGAGTCTTATTCGAAATTTCTCTGGCCGCCCATGAGAACTGTGCCCGAGACTTCTATTTATAGGAATCAGAAAGGGGCCAGAACGACCCGTTATAGATTCGGAACGGCCCATTCTGGGCTAGTCGTTATGTGCTAATTACGCACCCTGGAACGACCCATTCCAGAGTAGAAATTAACACAAAGTTGCCCTTTCTAGAACGGCCCATTCCAAATCTGACTTGTTTGGAACGGCCTATTCTGGAATTGGAAAGACCCTTTCCAGCCTAGGAATTTTTAGGTGTTTTAGTCACATTGGAACAGCCCGTTCTGATATTGGAACGGTCCGTTCCGATTTTGGAACAACCCGTTCTAGGTTTGGAAATGACCCGTTCAGATCCTGGAACAGCCCATTCCGGGCTACTAAAACCACCTTATTTGGCCTCTAGGCCTTCTCATGTCCTGTCTTGTTGTTTGCTTGCTTTGGGAGCTCCTTCCCTTCATAACGGAAGTCTATTTCTTTGTTTGTGTTCCCCAGACGAAATTGGGTGTCTACAATGATTAGTGAAAGCAACATGATCTTTGATGGAGTATGGTTCAGTTGATCAATGATGGAATACTCGCTATGTCGGATAAATTTGAGGAGTTCATCTTCTCCATCGAATTCCTTTCTCTCATCATGTTTATCCTTTTCCTTGGGGACCTTGTTTTGCGATTCTTTAGGAGTGTAGACTCGTCCACTCCTAATCATTCCCCCAATCCCGGTAATGTTTGATGAATCCATGATTGATGAGCTTTGTACTTCATAGATCCACGGCACGGCCTTGTCACTTTCATACAGAAAAGGACTAGGCCCTCAAATTGTTAATTTAGGCATGTTTTTCCCCTCATCTTTTTGCGTGCTTACTAGCTTTATATGGAGTGTTCCCCGATTTAATGTGTCAAGTTTACAGTTGATTACGAATGACTTTATTATTTGATTTTAATATGCATAAATTATATTTTCTTTTTTACATCTTTATTATTTACGAGGAAGGCATATTTCTAAATGAAATGCAACGTAGGATGCAAAGATAATTGAAGAATTCAATGAATATCATTCCTATTAATTTGTTCATTTAGAGAATATTCTCTATACAGTGTTTTTCAATAAATCTTGACAATAATGTAGAAGCTTAAAGAAACTCATGCTTGGTTGATACATAGATAAGTCATCTCTGGCTTCTAGAACATGTCTCTTCATTTCCTTTGCCTATTCATGGATCGCCTTGCTTATGTTGTCGTAAACCAACTGTGCTTCCTTGGCCTTCTCTTGATAGTATTCCATCATAACTTTCAGCTTTTGAACTTCTTCTAGAGCTTGGTCCCTTTGGTGGATGACTTCTCTGAGTTGCTTGAGCCATTTGTTTTCCTTCATTGATAACTAGGGATAGTGGTGGCTCATTCTTGTGTTATCTCCCACCAAACTCGAACTTCAGATTAGGCCATGGATAAGTTTTCCTATGCCTGCTCCATTTCCCGTTTTTGTTCATAGAGCTTGGCTTCAAGTTGTGCTACCTTTGATAAAGCATCCGTGAGTTGGGCATCTGAATCAACTCTTGGAGTCTTCATCAACTGTGTATTACAGTCGGGGTGTTAATCTTTTAATCGCTCGATCTCCATGTCATTCTTCTTGTACTGCCTTTGTAGACTGTCGATATTAAGTTTGGATGCCTCATCTTTTTCCTCCAAAGCCATTACTTGGGCTTCCAAAACTTCTATCTTTTTATTCAAGGCATCGCTTTTTGTTGCTCGTGCTGGCTCACCGATTTGGTTGTGCCCCTAACTCTTCTTACACTTCTCCAGTGGTTGTAATCGTCTGAAGAAGCTATTTGGGGTTTACCAAGTTCGTCGTCTCTAGATTAAAGTGGCTTGTTCCAAGCTTCCTTGATGGTGTCTATTAGTTGTTGCTCATCGGAATAGTAAAAGAAACAAACCCCTCCGATGTTTCATAGATTTGGCAAAGTCTGTGTCCTACCGAGCTTCCTTAATGCTAGTGTCAGAAAGTAGGTTATGCAACCTCTTAGTCCCATTAAAGGTATGTTAGAGAACTTTCCCACATCGGATTAGTACTTGACTTGGTCGAAACCATGGACACATCCATGTGAAGGAATCTTCGGTGTAATCCTCCAATTTGGCTTTCCAAGCCATGGCGTATTTCTTTGATACAGGAATCTAGGAAAACTTCTCAATGGGTCGGGTAGCTTTCCCATATGTCCCTTGGCGAAGAAATGGGTGTATGCCCAAACATAAATTAGTGGGATGCAACATCTCATTTGCTTTCCTGATTTCTAATTGTAGAATTCCACAATAATTAGGGTGTCGGCAATAATGGCAGGCACAAGGCTTCTCAAGTGTGCATCCTAGACAAACTGGTCTTAAGGCCCCCAAGATGCCCCCATTATAGGGACCTAGTATCTCTATCGCTGACACTTGGCAAACTCTAAGGTCTGTCGCAGTATTTCAGGCTAGAGTAACCAGTTATCACCTTGAGTGTGATTTCCGACAAGGCTCGCAGGCTCTAAAGGCCAAACTTGGGCCAGTCGTACGTTAACCACTCCCTATGTTTAATACCATCATGGCCCCGGGTGCAGGGGGACTGTTGTGTGCAAAGGTTTATGTGCAATTGATATTTCGAACATATGTGGAATTTAAACAAGCAAATAGATATCAAAGTCAAACAAAGAAAACACATATATTTCTCATTTAGTACATAACTTCACAACTGTGTTAAGAATTGGATTTATTGTGTTTAGCGTAATCCTTAGAAACGAAAAAATTTAATTTAGTCACGTATGATATTATTTTGGTAATCATTTGACTAATTACGTAAACACATGCATTTATACACAGATGATAATATCGGGAATAAGTGGACCGATTGACAAAAAGTTTGGTGGAGGCAACTTGCCGGCGTTTGTGTTGGGCACGGTGGCGGCCGCCATCAGCGCCGTCTTGGCGATTGTTCTTCTGCCGACTCCGAAGCCGCCGGCCGATGGGGACAAGGTTGCCGCCATCCCCGCACCACCGAGTTTCCATTAGTGTATAGGAGCTTTACATGTTTCACCTTTCTTTGTACCTTGGTTTGGAGACTTTTTTATTTGAAGGAGGTGCATGTGTAATAGTTAGGTATGTTAGACTCATCAAATATGGTTTCTTTGTTGTTTTTGCTATATAAATGTGTAAGACAAAGTCGTATTCCCGGTGATGCTTGGTTGGTCTAACATGACAGATTCTCAAAAGTTTGATGATCTGAACCAACTACAAAGGAAATATATATATATATCTTTAAAACCTATAACCATCCGTCTCTTTAATCTCATGTCTATCCCATTTTACTATTGTATTTGTTTTTTTAAAAATCATATATAATATTGGGTTTTGGGCCACGTGAGCAATAACGTCGTAATTAAATTTGGCACCTTGTATGCATAGGCGCTCATGCGTAGCATGCTATTAATATACCAGATTTTTTAAATATACAAGTTTGGAAGCTTACATATAATATAAATGGTAGGCAAAACCACACGATATATGAAATATGGTGTGTGACATTGAATATTAAAAGTTGTAGAGTATATTTTCTAGTATTCATCTCATCGTTCAAATGGGACACATTTCAATTTATATAAATAATATATATATATATATATATAAAAGAAGGATACGTTTATTTCAGGAGTTAATATACCTAAACTTACTCTGTTCAATAACTCATGCTCTACATCAAATTTCAACGATCCAACCATTGAATTTAAAGTTCTTAATGTATAGAATAAGTCTGCAAATTTTTTTAAAATATTAAAATCATTTGATACTTCGTTTCATTAATTTAAATTAATGGATAATCATAAAATCATTTTATACATTGATTTGAATTAATGAAACAAAGTATCAAATGATTTTAAAATTTTAAAAAAATTTGTAGATTTGATCTATACATTAAGAACTTTAAATTCAACGGTTAAATCGTTAAAATTTGATATAAAATATGAGTTATTAAATGGAGTAAATGAATTCCTCCTTTATATATATGTATAAACATTTTTTCAACAACTTTTAATAATAATTTATACTTGCAATACTGTTTAGAGAACTACTAATTATGATTAAATACATCATCAGCACCTATTGTTCTTACCGGAAATCTGCTGTAGAGCTGATCCGCCAGGTAAGATCGGTGAGCCTTCTTCACTGGTACGCTTGATGCTCCAAGATGGGGGTGGTACCTGCAAAAGAGACTCCGATGCTAAAGTTAGTGTTTGTGGGAATATGAATCTAGTATAAGTAATGCACGTACCTTAGTGTGAATTATGGTTGCTTTGGGCCTTGGGCCTGAGATAAGATTAGATAGTGGATCTCGTCTGGAGCGAGATCCCTTGAGATCGGTTATGATCTGCTTAAATGCAGAGCTGACGTCGCGTAGCGCGTGCCCAAGGTCATCATGCGTGGTGCTACTGACCTCGGAGTTCGGCTTCGCAGTACGGATAGTACACTAGCCCCCCGAGCTCCGAAGACCGTAGGTCGAGGAGTTAAGACCGAGCTCGTTGGGGAGAGTGACCTTCCACATGCGCTGGCCTGTCAAGGTGTCGTGTATTGCAACTGTCACTTCCGAAAACGTGCTAGTGGCGCGTTAGCCGGGGTGACAGTTATGTATTGATAGTTTGCGCTTGTCATGATGGTTTTCCATTAATGCACCGTCCGACGCGTCCCTTGGCTGACACGTGGCGCGACCGTTTTGAATTTGTGGGAAAACCTTTTCTCTCCCTCGCGCCTCTTCCCCTTTCCACTTTATTCTTTTTCTGCTTCTTGGCTTCTCGAGTACGATAACTTTTCTTGCCTTCTTGCTTCCGTTCGTTTTTCGTCTCCGTTTTCATAGTTCCTCTTCGAGTTCTATTACTCCTCTTGATGGCTGGTGGTCGTGGCGCCAGTTCTTCTACACTTGCCAGGGGCAAGGCGCGCGACAAGGCTGTGGCTACCGGGAGGGGCGCCACCGAGAGGAAAGACCCGCCTCCGGCCAAGGACCTGGAGTCAGGCGTTCCTGGCTACGACTGGGTTAAGCGCGAAATGGGGGGGCGGTCCAAAGTGTGTTCAGATCGCTTCTGGAGGTCAATGCGGTTTGGAAGACGCACCGGATTTGCGACCCTTCCATTTCCCGGATGATTCGACTCGAGCCCTGTCCGGCCGGTGAGGGTGTGTACATGGGGAGGTCTACCGACCCTCCTCATTTCTATGTCTATCAGTGTTTCTTCAGGGACCTGGGCGTTTGTCTTCCTTTCACTCAGTTTGAGTGTGATTTCTTGAACTACATCAACGCGGCTCCTTGCCAGCTACACCCCAATAGCTGGGGTTTTTTGAGAGCGTTTCAAGTCCTGTGTGCGGTCCTAGGGATAGAGTTGTCCCTTCGCGTTTTCCTTCACTTTTATCAGTTGAAGCTAGGTGTTCCGCCTTATGGCGTTCTTTCTTTGAACGGGAGTAAAGAGGGGGGTTTTCACTCTTTACTCCCAGTCTTATAAAAATTTCAAAACCGAGTTCTTCCGGGTTGCCCTCGTGGACGTTAACCCTTTAGAGGATGGGGGCTTCTACTTCGGTGGATTGCCGAAGTTCCCTTTCTACTGGTGCCCCAAACCGTCTAGGTTCCATGGGGTGGACCCTTCACAATTGACGGCCTCGGAGGCTGCCGCCATTGGGAATCTTTCGGCACTTCCTCGCCCGTTGGAATGCAAGTCGATATTGTCGCTGGCGAACTCGGCGCATAGGGAGAGGGGCCTCAAGGGTGAGTATCTTATGTTTTGGTAGCCTGTTGAGGTTTGTGTAATTCTTCTTTGCTGATGTGCCCTATTTTTTGTCTGCAGGCATTATAGTGGAGGATTTGTGGCTTGAACTGAAGCACTGCTTCAACGTGACCGAGCTCGAGGTCTCCGAGCCTCCAGATGAGGAGGTTTCCCCCTTGAAAGTGAACCGGAAAAGAAAGAGGGGCAGGAGAGAGGTCGGGGGGAACTCTGCCCCTCGTGGAATAGGGGAGGTTGCCTCCGAGGCTGCTAAAGCCGGCGTGGTTGACCTTGCTGGAAGTCCGCTGTTGGAGGGGGCGTTCGTGTGGCCGCCGAAGAGGTGGTGTCGACTATTGGGCCTGTCGCTCAGCCCGGCGAGGTGCTGGCTCGAGCTGCTGAGCGAGTTGTCCAGGCCGCCGTGGTGAGTACTTTTCTTTTCTTAGTCTTGTTTCTATTTTCTTAATTTTATGTTGTTTTTCTTCTTTTTGACTTGAGGTTGTTTTCTATAGGCAGGGGATGCTGCCGAGGAAGTGGTCCTTGCTGCCGGGCGGGCCACCTCGGCTGCCGAGGAGGTGATCCGGGGTGCTGTACCTGCTGCTCCGGTTGGCAAGGTAAGCGGTTGGCCCTTCTGTGGCATTGATGTTTTACCCTTCTGTTTACCTTTTTGTTCTTAGAAGAGTATCCTCGTTTCTTGCAGGCGGGGAACGACACCGGGGTTTCGGGTCCCCCGAGTTCCGGGGCGCTGGAAGGGAATCCTTCCGTGGTCGCACAGGGGGTGCCTGCGTCTACTTCCGCCGAGGCTCGTAGGGAGGGGTCGAGCTCCGGGCTCCCTACCTCCGGTCCAGTGCCGAAGCCGAAGCGACCGTATCTTGCGTACCGCTATGCGCAAGAGGGCGCGCCCATGCGGTTAGAGCATTTGAGTGCGTCGGAGGAGGTTGACTCTCTGTGGAGCGCCGCGGTGACTCTGGAGAAGTTTTTCCCAAAGGGGTCGCTGAGCACGGCTAATTAGGCGATGATCGAGTCAGCCAGGCCGATGGGGAGTTTCGATGCCGCCCAGATCTTCCTGCAGAGAGGCACGACCATTGTGGATTACTGGAAACACAAGTGGTCGAGGCAGCAGGAGGACATGGCGAAGCTGAGGAGCCTTGTTCAGCCTTTGAAGGATGAGAATAGAGTCCTGAGGGAGGAGAACGAGGTTCTGACTGCCGCCCTTGGCGAAGCAAAGATGCAGGGAGATGAGCTCCAGGCAGCGAGGGGGGGCCTTGCCAAGGCCCAGAAGTCATTGGAGATCGCCCTGCGCTCTAACGAAAACTATACCTCCCGAGTGGGTGAGCTGCGGGGGCTTGTTACCTCGTCCCGAGGTGAGGTGATATCTTCTCGGGAGTAGGTTCGCTCTTTGGAAGATGAGGTCGCATTTTTTAGGAGAGAAGTGGTGTCGGTAACCGAGGAGCGTCTCCGCGATGAGGTCATTATTGGTAGTAAAGAGGAGGAGATTGCTTCCCAGATGGTAGACCTTTTGTCGCTGGAGGCTGAGAAGGCAGCGTTGGAGGGGAGACTAGAGGAGGTAGAGCGTTCCATCGTGGTGCAGCATAAGAGGGGCTTCCTCAAGGCTGCTCGCCAGCCCAGGCTCCTTGCCCCAGGGTTTGACTTCTCCGGCATGCACGTGGAGAAAGTCGTTCGTTTTAGGAAGCTGGTCAAGGAGGATGATGTCGAGGACAGCTCCAGCGAGAATGCCTCTGTATAGGCCATTTTTGTAATGGTTTAGTTTTCCTGTTTCTCTTTACTTTTCTTTGAATTCATGTATTGAACTCGGTAAACACAGCTCTGTATATACGTATTTTGCTTTGTTTATTTGCGCTTAGTTTTTGCTATTTTGCGTGTTTCGAGACACGTTTGGTGTCTGTTGTGTGTTTTTATGGATCCGAGTTGGTCATGCTGGGGTTAGACCTCGACCTTGGTTTTTTATAAATGAATCTTTTCGGGAGGGTTCGAATTCGACCTGAGGTTCGGATTCGACCTTGAATTGAAGTGAGGTGAGTGGTACGAAGGTTCGGATTCGACCTTGTATTTTTGTTGAGTGACACATTGCGAAGGTTCGGGCGTGGCCGTAATCGTGCCGAGGTTCGAACTTGGCTTCAGATTAGCGTATTAGGGTTCGTACTCGACCTTGAATTTGCGTATAGCGTATTAAGGTTCGTATTCAACCCTAAGTCGGAGTAAAATGGATCATGCCGAGGTTCAGACTCGACCTCGGACGCTCATATCCGAGGTTCGTTCTCGACCTCGAATTTGTGTACAACGTGTTAGGGTTCGTACTCGACCCTAAATCAAAGTAAAATGAATGATGCCAGGGTTCAGACTCGACCTTGGATTAGCGTATCCGAGGTTCGTTCTCGACCTCGAATTTGTGTACAGTGTGTTAAGGTTCGTATTCGACCCTAAATCAAAGTAAAATGAATGATGCCAGGGTTCGAACTCGACCTCGGATTAGCGTATCTAAGGTTCGTTCTGGACCTCAAATTTGTGTACA